GCTATTTTAACATACAAAAAAGCATTTATTCGTCAAGATAGCGCAAAATGTTAATACATGCTGTTATAAGATCTCCCATATCCCACCAAATTTCTATATATATATGAGCCCCTTCCCACTTCAGTTGGCCCACTTCAAGATTTGTACCAAAATATGCCTTTATAAACTAAACATGACGAAACTATTTACTTTTAAAACAATTTATTTTCTCAAAAACATTTTAGATACACTCTAGTCGTAAAAAATACATATTTGAAATGACTTAGACCTATAACTAATAGAACATCTGAACAAATAAACAATGTGCGAATAAATGCGCGAAGTTAACAAAGCAACAATTGAAAGATTACCATTGGGTAACATCACCTTTATTTTTTATTACGGCTGAAATTCTTTGAGGCATAGTGTTAACCAAGTTCTGGCAAAAATTTGGTGTAAAACAATCCCATATTTCTTGAAGCTTTTGTCTCAGTTCGGTGATTGTACCAGCAGGATGTTGTCGTAGAACCTTTTTCATCTCTTGCCACAAAGTTTCAATAGGTGACAGATGCTGAAACACAAAATCTTGGCCGGATGTCAAACATTCTTCCATCACTGGTAAAAGCGATTCTTCTAAAATTGCCAAATATTTGTTTGTATCCACATTTCCATCAATAAAATGAAGTATTCCTACTCCTTTTGATGACATACTGCCCCAGACCATAATGGATGCTGGAAATTTCACTTTTCTCTTCAGACAGTCAACATGGAATGCTTCATTTTTTTGCGAATAACTCTACTGCGACTGTCACTAACACAAACTTATCATAGCCGACTTTTCTTTTTCAGTGGAGTTAATAGTGGCTTTTCTTTGGCCTATAAACAAGTTGTGCAACTTTAAGGTTTTCACTTCACTTTTTTTTTATAAGAAAGCTTACCTTGCAAGTGCTAAATCCCAGTTTGCGGGCCTCTCTATGACTTGTGGACCTCGAAATTCTCCTTCCAACAGCGTTCATTATCCACCAAAGCTAAAAGCTGATATTCCTAATTTATTCATTATGAAATCTGTCTGTCATTCATTTAGTTTACCTGTATGTGTTAATTATGCTTGTACTAAATTACCAGATGATATTGAACAAATGGCTAGCGATGTTCAAACGTATCTGCAATACAGTTTTAAAAGTTAAACTGAATTTGCACAATTTCAGGAGTTTGTAGCAGTAAAACCTCATAAAATTTTATAACCCTCTAAAACAAGGTGGTTGTCTGTATTGCCTGTTGTAAAAAGAATACTTGAGCAATATGATGCTTTAAAATTATATTTTACAGATCAGTGCTACAATGAAAATGGCATACAAGCACAAAATATCTCAAATTTTCTTCAAAATCCATCTGGAATTAAATTTAGAAATGCAATCCGAAAATATTAAAATACACATATAATATAAACCAGTTGAACATGTGTTAAGAACAATTTTGGATTGTTACATGAAAAAGGATTATTTAGATAAAACTTTGATTGAAAAAGTAGAATATAAAAATCCTTATAATTTTGTGGAAATAGAAAACATTTATTTAGGTGTCTAGGTAACAGGTGCTATAAGCAATAATGAAGATAAACTAAATGATGCAGAATTATTTGACTTCAGAGATCTTTTAATAGAAAGTTGTTTTCAAATTTATAAAAGATTTGATAATAACAGAAAACTGTCGCTACCCTAAAACATATGTCACTTATATCACCAGATGAAGTAATTGCAAAAGAACAAGCAGCATTAGGACCTTTAGTTTTCCATTTTTGCAACTTGACAACTGATAACGTAAATGAAATAGACAAAGAATGGCGTTGCCTAAGAAAGCTTGATTTAAGTGAATATACAAATTTAAGCATTCAAGAATTTTGGGAAAAAAATTCAACATTAAGATCTGGTGATTATTCTCTTATGTGTCCAACCTTAACTAATTTTGTGTTTAATCTGTTTAGTTTGCCACATTCAAGAGCAAATGTCGAAAGGATATTTTCCCAAATAAATCTAAACAAAACTAAAATAAGAAATAAATTATTGACTGAAAGTTTAAGTGGAATTTTACATACCAAAGTTTTATTGAACAAGGACAGTTGCTACAACTTTAGCATCCCTAATGATTTGTTTAGAAGAATGTACCCGTCAATGTACAATAAAACTCAAAATTAAATTATAATACCTACTTTTGGTTATTTTGCTTTATTGTTTTCTTAAAAACAAAATATTTTATGTTATGCCATGTTCGTTCGTTCGCTATTTATACAGAATACATTTTTTATATTTTCTATATTATGCAAACTTAAGTTATCATGTATTTTAGTTTATATTATATACGATTTTTATTATTTTAAGAAATACCTGTTACGTTAATTAAACTAATTACACCTAAAAAATTAAGATGAATATTAAATATATAAAAGGAATTCTAAAACAAACATGGTTTTTTAAGTTGATAGTGACATCTAGGAAGATTTTGGCAAAATATCTAGGGAGAAAAAAAAATCGTCTGGCAACACTGGGAGACACATTTGCCTATTGTGGGGTGTCGGACGTTGTACACATGGCACATGGCCATTCGCCACATTGTGCGGGAGAGCACTCACGGATTGCATGTGTCCAGCGTTCGTCACATGGCACGCCGAGCTCTTGTCGGTAAATTTGACCTGCGTCAAAGGACGTTACAACGTTGGAAGCATGGTTCGTTACGCTCCCACACGAGATGTCATGTGTTTGATGGTTTTAGGTTAGAACCAGTAGCGGCGACAAACGTTATTCATTTATTTTCTGTGAAGTTTTTTGATTTGAATACCTTCGTATTCATAATAATGTATGTTCCGTAACTAACTTTCGAGGAGAATGCATTAAATTAATATACTTACAAAGCATAGGCTGCCATAACAACACTTTTCTCATATTGCTAATATTTTGTATGCTTCGCAGGTGAGTTATGGCTGGCCTAAGGATATGTATTTAAGTAAATTATAAATTATCAAGTGCTTAACAGTTCTTTCATTATAATGTCCTATTGTAATGCAAGACTAGTTGAGAAATATACTGACTTCTATTTCATAACTAACGAAAAAGATTAAATAAATGATGACTGATGACCTGAAAGTACTATCACGATTTTGATGAAATTTTGACCCTAGGGTACTACTATGAAAATGAAAAAGCTCTGCAGTTTTTGAAAATCTGTATAGTAGCGGTGGAGCTATTGCCGAAAAACAAACAAAAAACGGTGAAACTTCGTTTTTCGACATTTTTGAGGCTTCTGACAGACTTAAGTTTTGGTCGCTGAGGACAGATCTGAAATTATTTTTCGGCGCTCGAAAAATTGTGTCATTGTCTATTTTGTATAACAATTTGCCGATTGTGGGGTGTCGAACGTTGTAAACAACGTTGTATATAACATTGGAAGCATCGTATGGGACCCGCATTATGGACGAACTGGCAACATCAAGGTCATACTCTCAAGGCAAAATCGAGGTAACTGTATTACCGGCATCACGTGACGTGCTGCCAGCCGGGACCCAGGGTTGCCAGACGTGGCGATTTTTTCGCCAAAGTGGCGATTTGACTGCTTCAAATGGATAACATTTCTGACGCCAATTAATTTGTAATCAATTATTTTGATGATAATTGTATGCAAAGAAAACCAAATTTGTCTGACGGCTTGATTTCAATGTGTACGAGAGAGAAGCGCGAGAAGTGTGAATCAACACATGTTAGAAAGATATAGAACTTCTCTCTCGAACGCATTGAACTTAAGCCATCAGACAAAATTGGTTTTCGGTGGAGATTCATAAAACATGAAACAAGGACCAGCGGAAGTCCTGTTCTCTAAGCACAATGACGCTTATGGTCAAATGCTATGAAAAGGTGTCGTGTTCCGAGCATATCAACGACATCCCATTTGAACACTTTTGATACATTGTTGCTTGATGTACGATTATTACAATTTTTGTACGATAACCGGGAGAAGAGAGAGCCAACTCCCCCCCCCCCTCCAAAAAAAAAGATCACTGGGGAAAGGTAAATACGCAGAAAATTATTGTCTCCCCGCTCTTCAATTTTCAATAGTTGGTAACCCTCGTCCCCGTTTTCACATTGACACAATATCATAAAAACATCCACCAGAAGTCCCGCCACCTCAAAATGTCCCTCTGGATCCGCCCCCTCTGAATGAACTTAAAGTTTCGTTAATATTACGCGTGTCTGAGAACTCTCCCCATCCTCAACCCCGCTTTTCAATGGATTCTTGGAGTATTATTATGCCTAACCCTCCTCAACTTCGCCCTTCAGTTATCGTCAATAGGCAGGCTACTTGGGAGCTTAGGCCAGTCACTACTCCACCTCCCCGGGCGACAAATACATTCTAATCTCTAACCTGGAGTTTTATGGTTAGCCGCCTAGTTAATTTTGACTTTAAGGTTTGGCGATTTTCTCATCAAAACCCGGCGACGGACGTGACTGAAGGCATGGCAACCCTGCCGGGATCTTCATCTGAATTTCTGAATGTAAAAATATCAAATATGGCGTTTGTCTTGGTTAATATCTAGGTCTAGGTTATCAAATGCGTGTGAAGTTAGCTCGAAAAAGCTGGCTCCACAATCCTACCGACCGCTCGATTACAGCGGACCGAATAAATGCTGTCCGCCTGCGATACGCCGTGGCCGTAGCGTTACTCATAGAAGCCCGTGACGCCCATACGAGGTGAGCACAGTAATTATATATATTCTATCTGTGCCTACGAGTCTTATGCTATTGCGATATTGCATTAACTGGTTCTGCAGAGTTTGTAGGTTCGTATCTCAAGCTAGTCCTACACCTCAACTCATAACAAATAGTCCTGTCGTGTATTTTTTTTCGTGAAAACCTGCAGATGTGCGTCGATGTGCTTTTCAGGGTTTAAAGTACACAACAAGAGCTATTATAATAGTAGATAGGGTTTGTATGTTCTGGGACGCCCTTGAGCGCCGACCTTCGGTGCCAAACGACCTTAAGAGCTGACCTTCGGTGCCAACCTTGAAATGTAACCTTGAAACGTGACCTTGAGTTTCCGAGTGACCTTGAGTTTTTCGAGTGACATAGAAGTGTGACCTTGAGTCTCTGAGTGACCTTGAAGTGTGACCTTGAGTTTTTCGAGTGAGCTTGAAGTGTGACCTTGAGCTTTCGATTAACCTTGAAGGGTGACCTTGAGTTTCCGAGTGACCTTGAATCGTGACATCGAGTTTTCTAGTGACCTTGAAGTGTGACCTTGAGTTTCCGAATCACCTTGAAGTGTGACCTTGAGTTTCCGAGTGACCTTCAAGTGTGACCTTGAACATATATGACCTCGAACACTCACGACCTTGAGTGGGTGTGACCTTGTAGGAGTGAACGACTTTGAGATGTAGAAGGGATGACCTTGGAAATATGTGCTTAAATTGTAGAACGCGCGGAGAGAAGTCAGTTGTTAGCAAACAGTTTGTAAGAAGAAATGGGTCTACAGAAATTTAAGTTGCCTACGGTGTGGGAAGGAAAGCCTGTGGCGGTGGTAAGCCCGTTTAAGATAAAGTCTTCCCCTCAAGAAGAAGAAAATTGGGATGATGATCGATGGCTCATGGATACCACACCACCTCACCAGCCGACGGGATCCAGCCCCCCCTTGGACACTACACCGGTTCGGCGGGATGGATTCCGAAAATATGGACCCAGGAACCCTGGCCCGGAATTGCCAACGGAAGAAAATTGGGATGATGGTCCACCTTCTGAAACGGGATCCAGGACGTCCATGGACTCTACACCGGTTCGGCGGGATGGATTCCGAAGATATGGACCCAGGAACCCTGCTGCGGAAGTGCCAACGGAAGAAAATTGGGATGATGATTCACCTGCTGAAACGGGATCCAGGACGCCCATGGACACTACACCGGTTCGGCGGGATGGATTCCGAAGATATGGACCCAGGAACCCTGCTCCGGAAGTACCAACGGAAGAAAATTGGGATGATGATCCACCTTCTGAAACTTACATCCCTAATGTAGAAAATAGACCCATTGTTAGGGATGTACCTCCAGGCATGTCGCGTAATGCGAGACTGAGATGGAGGCTGCAGGAAAGAATTAGAATCCGCCAATTGCAACAGCAGTGAAGGAAGCAGATGTGCAGAGAGTGTATATATTGTTAGCAGACGGAAGCAGAGTTGAAGAGGGTGGAAACAATGTTGGCAGAAGACAAAAGCAGTGGGGCGACCAAGGGGTGCACCAACAAAAGTAATAAGTGCAATAAAGGTGACCATCTCAATATAATTCCAAAGACCGTATCCGTCAACGAAAAAAACGAAGTATATACCATGTATGCTTGGCAATATGCGTACAGAGAAGCACGAAGAAGTAGCTGGGAGGTAGCAGATAGATGTAGGTTTCGAAGGCGAGTGCAACTAGTCGAAGAAGTGCTAAAAAAGTACGTGACACTAGATTATAGACAAAAAGTGTTTACAGAAAGGTTTGAAAATGTAAATTAGTGCATAAGATTAGTATGAAGTTAGGTTTTGTAAGTTTTAACTGTAAAATAAAATTGTAATGTAGTTTAACGAAAAAAGGGAAAAAACCCACGCTTAAAATAGTGAAGCTTGGAGTGCACGTATTGCAATTGCGATTAATAGAATCAAACTATTCAATGTCGATGCAGGGTGACAGTGACAGTGTGTACAAATGAAAAGATGTTCTGTAAGTTGTGTAAATATTCCTGTAAATACATATCGATAACCATTTACATGCTGTTTCCTGACAACTCATTGAATAAAAAAAAGCTAATATGTTTTAATAATTGTTTTATTTAAAAAAATTATGACATGATAAAGTTCTTATACAAATAAAATACGTTGGATAGTGCACACATGGTGATAGGCTTGGAGTGATCGAAACATGCAGTGCTAGCGGGTTCTAAACGAGGCTGTTCGTCCAATTCGATGACGGGTTTGCGGAAAAACCGTCTCAAGTAGTTTGCTTTTTCGACTCCTTTGACGAAAATTCGATCTACATGCTTCGTTAAGTCATCCATAATTTTTGGAAAGGTATGTAGTGGATAGTAAAACCAGAGTTCCAATTTATACAGTGATGATTCTGCATCAACCAAAAGAACTTCTCACACAGTAGCCTTCCACCACTTACGTGTCAGGATGGAACTATTGTATTCGACTCAAAGGCCAAGGCGGAAGTGCTAGTCAAGATCTTTGCTGCCAACTCCACCATGGACGTCCCCACCAACGTCCAAGTGCCGTCAATTCAAAGGGTTCCCCACACTATGCGGGAGGTAACATTCAGGCATAAGACCGTAAGACGAGTGCTCTTGTCGCTCGACATCAACAAAGCTTCTGGTCCGGACTTGATTCCTGCCATTGTACTGAAGAGATGTGCAGCGGAGCTTGCTCCAGTTCTTTCGCGTTTCTTCCAGATATCTTATGAATCCGGCACCTTCCCAGAAAACTGGAAATTTGCTCATGTACAGCCCATCCCAAAAAAAGGATCTAAGACCGACCCTTACAACTACAGGCCTATAGCTCTGCTTTCTGTTATAAGTAAAGTGATGGAGAGGTGCATAAATCGCGAGCTTCTGGACTACCTCGAACGTCACAGCTTGATTAGCGACAGGCAGTACGGTTTCCGGCACCAACGATCCACAGGGGACCTCCTAGCTTACGTCACGCAACTGTGGAGTAAACTCATCCAGTCTCATGGTGAGGCTCATGTCGTTGCTCTTGACATCACGAAAGCGTTAGATCAGCTGTGGCACGCTGCCCTTTTAATCAAACTTCCATTCTACGGCCTCCCAGAAAAGCTTTGCAGATGGGTGGCTGACTTTATCTCTGGCCGCAAGATATCAGTCGTAATTGACGGACTCTCCTCTTCATCCCACAACGTCAACGCGGGTGTTCCCCAGGGATCGGTCTTGGCTCCAACACTGTTTCTCTTACATATCAACGACTTCCTTTCCTACACGATCAACCCAATCCACAGCTTCGCTGATGACAGCACTCTATATGCAGGAATTCAGAGTGACAATCCGATCTCTGCCGCATGAGCTGGAAAAAAGAAGACTAGCGACGACTTCTTCTCTGACAAGAGACCTGGAGGCTATCACTGCTTGGGGACGCAACAATCTTGTACAGTTCAATGCTTCCAAAACACAGTACTGTACTTTGACGAACAAAAAGCGTCCGAGCGCTCATACAGTTTTGATGGACGGTCGAGTTCTACCAAAGAGCCATTCATTTCGGCTGGTCGGAGTCCAGATCACCGAGGACCTGATCTGGCACGAACACATCTCTTCAATAGCTGCAGCTGCTGGGAAAAAGCTAGGCTATTTGTTTAGGGCTAAGAAGTACTTTTCTCCCCATGACCTTCTCACTCTATACAAGTCCCAGATAAGGCCTAGCCTCGAGTATTGCTCACACATTTGGGGTGCTGCCGACCCGACTACATTGTCCATGCTCGATGCTGTCCAGAGGAGGGCGGTCCGACTGATCGATGACTCTTCTCTAACAGACAGTCTCGGGACTCTTTCGCACCGGCGGGTCGTCGGCGATCTAGCTCTTTTCTATCGCTACACCAACGGGCTTTGCTCCTTAGAGCTCACATTGCTGCAGTTGTAGGATCAAGATGCCGATTGATAAATTTGGAAGACATATGCTTCGCTCAAAGAAGACGGACACTGCTGCAATCTTCAGTACTTTTCTAAGATCCAACCTATCCAGCGTATGTGTGGTACCCATTTATTCCTCCACATCCAGCGAGCAGTTATACATATACACATTTAACGACAATAGCAAGGACTATATCGTTCCTGTGACTGGGATAGTTGATAGTATAAATGTTCCGCCAAAAGTAAGGGTGACAATAATTGGTTTAAATAGCTTCAGCGACAACACAACTCTCACGAAAGGTGATATTCTCCATTTCTTCACATCTAAAGAACCCAGACCAGAGCAGCTTATAGCAAATATTGTAATGCGCTGTCCATTGATACAACAATGATGGACTTTAGAAAGCAGGTTGTTGAAGAACTTCATAAACCAGCTCGCCGAAATTATAGACGTCGGCGCGTTATTGTGAAGGGGGTCAACGATCTCTTGCAGGCAGATTTGGTGGATATGCTTCCGTATCAGAAAGTGAACAAAGGATTCCGATATATTTTAATTGTCATCAACGTTTTTAGTAAATTTGTGTGGGCAGAACCAGTCAAACGAAAAACCGGAAAAGATGTTACAACTGCAATGAGGGCGATTCAGTCGCACATGAAGTCAATTCCAAAAAATTTACAAACAGACTTTGGTAAAGAATTCTACAATAGTGATTTTACGAAGTTGATGGAAGAGTACAAAATTAATCATTACAGCACGTACTCATCCACCAAAGCAAGTGTGGTTGAAAGGGTGAATCGGACTTTAAAGAATCGGATGTGGAAGCAGTTCAGCCTTCAGGGATCATACAAATGGCTAGATATCCTATCGTCAGTCGTTGACGGGTATAATAACACCAAACACAGTACAATTGGAATTAAACCCAAAGACGTAAACAAACGTACAGAAAAAACATTATTGAATACGGTTTATACACATTTGAAAACGGTAGATCCAAAGGGTGTAAAATATCAAACTGGGGATCATGTCCGCATAAGCAAACATAGAACAGCATTTGCTAAAGGATACACTCCTAATTGGTCCAATGAAATTTTTACAATTCGTAAAGTACAGTATACCAATCCTACATCATACTTATTGGCAGATTGGCGTGGTGAGAGAGATACTAGGTGGATTTTATGCTGAAGAGCTTCAAAAAGTCAAGTATCCAAGCATCTATCCTGTGGAGAAAGTGGTTCGTCGTAAAGGCAGTAAAGTGCTAGTCAAGTACTTAGGACTGGATAGCAGCTATAATTCGTGGATTAACAAAAGTGATTTACTTGTATGAAAAATGTACCTCTATTTTCTCTAATGATTTCTATAGCAAACTTTTTTTCAATAAAACACTCTACGTAATATAAGATTTTTATTACAAATATACTGAGAATAGTTAGGATAAGTAATTTGAATAAAAGTTCAGTGTTGGAGCCTTGTTGAATTCCTTCAAGTTTGGATATTGGTATGCCAGCTCCATAGCAGTCCTGATGTTCTCCGAATGCGGCAAATCAGATATGTGTTACATAATGTAGTCTCGTACATCTATGTGCTTGGTTTGTACATCCTGGACGAGTGTGGTAAAATATTTTTGGAACTCCTGAGTTTTCAACATATTCATCGTGTAGGCAATCAGCGGGGCTAATTGAAATAACTTCAATACGGTCTCTTTACCCAAGTAAACTACATTACTCCACCGATCTTCAATTTTGATGGTTTGATAATCTGGAAATCTATCAAAGCTGATACAGAAGGAGTTACCTTGGATCGGATGGAAAATATCATCACTGAAGAAAAAATTGGTTATAATGCCTTCTTGATTCAATACTTCATACCAGTCTTCTTCATTTAACGTAACGCCCTCGGTTTTTAAACCCTTGATATTGAGTACAGGTTGGAAGCTCCACTGATATGCTCGCCCAATCGTAATCCATTTTGATTTAGATGGATTTAGATGATAGCGTTGCTCCTGGATGACAATTAACGGTACACTTTGTACAGATCGTACCCCTTTGTTGTACTGCACATTTGCAACGTGTTTGACACCACCGGCACTACTCATGTTGTAACACTATGTGAAATGTAGAAGACTGGTATGTGATGCTGAGTAGCTACTTTTATACAGTGTCGATACTCCCTCCACTCACAAACACTCCCCTCTCAAAAATTGGCGCAGGTGCAATGGAAAATGATACTACCATTCATGAAGATATATTTATTTATGATATATTTCTGTCATACAACACAGCAAGAATTATTGCGTTTTGGATAAATCGCATAAGACACTCAAACATGCAACATAATCTTCAAATTTGGTGGATGGCCATTTCACACCACATGGTCCAGAACTCCATCCTAGTGACTTATCTCCAATGTTACCTTTAGGTACGTTTTTCTTTAGCCATTTAAATACAGTATAATGTCTTATCTTATTTTCTATATCAAATACAAATTTAATATCATGCTGCTGTATCACATCGATTAGACTACTCAGTGATGCACAATCAGCCAGATATGCAATTTTACATATGGTTTCATCGATATGGGATACAGTGTCTTTATATCTCTTAGTAATATTTTCTACAGGATGTGGTTTATCTACATCTTCATAGTTACTGTCAGATAACAACTTACACAAATAGTATTGTTCATATGCTGATGGTGTGGAGTGCATGTTCGTCAGCAGGTCTCCAAATTTTTTGATGCTTAAAACCTCAACCTGTATTCTTTAGACTTTGCAGCATTTCCTGTACCACCCAGTCAAGATGTTTCTTTCTTGTTATTACACTGGAAAGCACATCGGGGTGGCAACTATCTGCATTTGCAATCCAGTTGAATACTTCGTCGGGTACTGTCATTTCCTCCAGTACAAAACTCAGCACTGGAAATTCTCGTTTTTCTGGATTTTGAGACACAAACTGTCGGAGCTGTTTTTTCAACACCTCTTCAGTTACATGACATAATTGCATGAACAGTGAATAGTATGTCTTGGTACTCATCTTTAAAACTGAAGAAGGTGAGTGGGTAAAGCATATATTTATATTCTTGTCCCCACCACAAAGCTCAAATTTCTGATCATTTCATCTGGTCACTAGTCAACTCACTGGCTTCGTTCATTAAGCGCAGCAAGAGGTCCAACCGCTCTTCGTCCGACATCTTATGAAAGGTGATATCCTGATGACCCCAAGCTAATGTCTTTGTTGAGTTTGGTATCAAGATCAAGAAACGTTTATCATCCATACTGGTCAATGCCACTTTTCTTATATAATTTGTGTATATATTGTGCGACTCCGATTTAAATACATAAATCGTACAGTACACAGATGTCCGTTTCTCCTCAACAATATCTTTATAATGTAACAAATGTAATTGATGTTTCACACTCGCCTTAGATATACCTTTAGCTCGTTTAGCCACTTGATCTACAGCATCGATACAGTATGCTTTGGGACCTGTACCATAAAAGGCAGACAGTACCTTGCCACCATATTCGTCTTTCATCTTACCCAACTCTGACGCTGTTTGAGGCATGTTATGTGGGTTGTCAGCATCATAATTGGATGTGTCAAAGTAATGCATGTGTGATTTCATCTCTTCATAGAAATTATCGGTTTCAACATGTACTATTAACGAATCAGTGTCCGTGTATGCTAAAGACACCTTATTACTATATTGGTGCTTCAGAAAGTTATAGAAAAAGTCATATATTACCGTTTTTGAGACATCTAAAATACAAAATCCAACATATGTGGGACGGCAATAATCAATCATTGTTTTTTTTTCATTTGAATAGCTACTAAGTTTTCAGAAAATATTCTGTGTTCTTTAAAAGTTGGTTTACTAATATAATTTTCAGCACCTATTTTGTGTTTCGATTTTTCAAATTGAGTCGCTAATTTGATATTGACTCTGTTCTCCATGTTTTCAATCGTTTTGCCAAATATACAATTGATCATTAGTTTGAACAAATCTCTTTCAAACGGATTCAGTGCTGCATTTCGAAGTGCCGTGTTTAACAGTATATAGGACTTTAACCACGCTGCTTGTGTGAATTTGATACCTCTATGAATTTTCGTCAAGATAATACCATGTTTCAAACATTGTTTTAGATTACGATAATGGATAATGTAGCGCTCTTTGTTGTGTAAATTTGGAATTAATTTTGAGCTTTGACTTTTTCTGGACAAAATGGTAAATCATTGAAATAATCATGAAGCTCATTCGGTATTGTTAAATCAACTTCTAATGCATATCCAATATCCGATGTATCTGAAATTTGTGTAATTGTTTCTTGAATCCTATCCATCTCATGTTGCGTTAACCAAGCAAAATGACCCGTCGGTAGGTACAGCTGCATAGTATATCCATATAAGTTCGCGCATCAAGGTACATTAAGTACGATGATGCCTTTGATGGATCGTAATGAGGTAAACATTTATTGTTCGCCTCGACTTTCCGTGAGGTACATGTGCTGACTCCTCCACGAATCCCCTTTTTTAAAAAAATGTACCATATCCACATCTGTAAGCAGCTCTAACTCTACTTTAGTATATCGTAGCATTGCATCCCAACTCAAACCAGGAGCTGTAAAATAGTGAGCTGGATCCAGCTTGTACGTTTTTAAACACAAATCTCTAAAATTTTCAAAGATATCTGTTAAAAGAAGAACATCCGACGTCAAGTAAAAGTCCGAGTATTCCCCCAAATTTTTACACCCCATTACTTCCCAAACATGATGTGCCCGCTCATAATCCTCGTCTGCAATGTGTTCATCACGTATTTCGTCATAAAAGTCTTGTTGGGATGGTAAACATGTTTATCAAATGTTTTAAGATATGTATAGGGAAATATACCTTTACATCTCATGTAGGAGAATCTTTCGTCCTCGGGAAACACTTTTCGTACTGTCCGACATTGCTCTGCGCTTAAAAAGGATGCCAATGTTTCTAATTTTGACGACAGAAACTTATATGAATCGATAAATCTCATTTGCAAAAATACGGTTTTTTGTTTTCCCTCTTGGGAAATGTACTTGTCTACCGGTACTAATTTTGTAAATGACACATATCTTTCAAAAGATTGTGGAATCACTTTAATCTGTTCTTGATTCATAGCTAAGTGTTTTATGAATAGATGAGCGTCATAGTTCTTCAGATTGTGGAAAAATATTGGAATATAGTTCGGAGTCTTATAATTGAGATTGCATTTACTATGCGCCGCACCACGATATTTCCCTGTGAAATGACAGTGATCCCTAACTTTTATATTTGTATTGGTGAATGGTTGTTCACAAATGAAACATGACTCTGCTTTATTAAACGAAGCTTTATCGTACGTAGTCATTTTCATTTCTACATTTTGTGTTAAATATTGATAATATATTAATTTAAGATCAGCCTCTAATCGAGTAAAAAAAATTTTTGCTGCATCCTCACCCCTATATAGTTCCAATTTGGATAGTGAATCATTAAATGAGCATCTGATGTAATAAGCAAATGAGGATGGTTTATGTTCATACTTTCTGATGGTACATACATCCTCTGAATCGCTTGAGTCATATTCTATCGGAGCTAGAATGCATTCAAAATCGGCATAAAGGCAAAATGGTAGCCTTAATTGTTTGTGATGCTGTTCAAATTTTAGTACATTATCCATTACCGTGTTTCCAAGTCGATCAACTCTCGTTTCCAATTTTGGAAGCTTAACTGAAATATATTTGCAATAGGTTCGCATGTGAATTTCTAATTTTTCTTTTGAGGCAAAGTATTGTAAACACCCATCACAAAAGTGCTTTACTCTCGTATTCCGCGACAACTGACTTGAAACGAGTCTTGAAAAGTTGGTAATTAAGCAGTAATGATGGTTTTCTTCTGAATCATCAATAAGTAGGTAATAAGTTTAGATGAGTATGTTGTTTTTGCGCGGTGTAGTGTAACGGTCCCACCACCTGATATTTAGGCTTCCCATCAATGAATTCCTTTTCTAATCCATAAACGTTGATTGATATGTTATTCACGCTTTCAAATTCTGATATTGACTTGAGAGCGAGTGGAAATGTCATTCCAGCAAAGTTTAAGCCCGGAACATTCGAAACATGTAGATATGACGTTGTTAGTGATGATCGACCTTTTGGTTTTACCATACCAGCTACAATTGTCCATGCAAAGCAGTACTCATCGTTATTACGTATATTGAGTACAGCTTTTTTGTTCCTAATTTCCTTTGGAAGCGGCAAATATGATGCTGCTCTCAAAGGATTATATTTATTAATATTAATTTCTAAATATAAAATCTTTTCTAACACCCACCCTGAGTATTTTTCTGCAAAATCTTTAGATTTTTGCTCTATTTTACTATCCAAATCATGATAGATTGCTTTTAAATTTGATGATTGTGTTATGATTACATTGTTTGTATTGTGGGACTTCACCTCTCGTCGGCTTTTAGCTGGTAAGATATATAAACCAAAAAGTTCCATATTTATGTTGAGCGTTGTTTGCTTATGCAATTCATTTTCAATCACGTTTATGGAGTCATGTTCAAGATTATTCATATATTCAGTAACGTTCAACGTGTCTATACTAGCGGTTATTTGATAACTGACTATTCTACCCCGAAATGCACTTCGACATACTGACACATTATTGTGTAAAGGTGTCCATAGATGTGCCTTATGTTTGATGCTTTTCAGATGTGCTGCATGTGCATTCCTCGGTACCTCACACTTGCAACTATCACAGCGAATTGTTCTGCTTTCCGCACTCGTCTGTGAGTCGTTGCTGGTGGTTGGACTCATTCGACTCGGTCCCGGTATTGCAACGTTGGCTGTTGAAGGATCCAGTCGTCTGGTATTGAGTCCTGTGGTGGTCTGGGTGATGCTAGCTGGAATAATAAGTTCATAAATATAATTTATTTAATTTGGCTTAGTTGTTTGTAACTTTACCTTCTACACGTTGTTGTTCGGGTGGACTCTTCTCACTTGTGCAGACCTCTCTACCATGTCGCAGTAAACCTTTTCGTGCCGAGAATTTTTACTGGCATCGAGGACATTCCCACTTGTCTGCAGTGATGCGTGGAGCGGTTGCATTACATGGACGCTTGGATGCGGGCTCCCCATCCTGGCTGCACCGTTCTCTACAATGTCTCAACAAACTTTTCCTCACCGCGAAGGTCCTTTGGCATTTTGGACATTGGAACATTTTGTTGTGAGGCGTGCACGTATCTACTGTGTTTCTCACGCATAAATCATTTATATATATATATATATATATAATATATTTCTGCACCTCGCGTTCTCCAGTGGCATCTGACACAAAAAAAAAACATTAGCTGCTGTACATTGATTTGACCTATTTGCAGGTTTCGTTTTTTTTTGTCCCATTTCTACATATCAAGTTGGTCATTCACTGCACACCGTTCCGTTTCGAGTCGTTCTAGTTGCGTGAACGCCAACTCTTCGATCCACGTGTCGCGATTGGGTTGCTGATTCACAACACTACGTTCTGTCGCGTCCCGTTCAAGTTGCGTGAACGGCAACTCTTCGATGTAGGTGTCACGATTGAGTTGCTCATTCACCACACAACGTTCTGTCGCGTCCCGTTTAAGTTGCGTGAACGGCAACTCTTCGATGTAGGTGTCACGATTGAGTTGCTCATTCACCACACAACGTTCTGTCGCGTCCCGTTTAAGTTGCGTGAACGGCAACTCTTCGATGTAGGTGTCACGATTGAGTTGCTCATTTCCCACACAACGTTCTGTCGCGTCCCGTTCAAGTTGCGTGAACGGCAACTCTTCGATGTAGGTGTCGCAATATCGTGTATCGTCCACATCACATCGATCACTCGCAATCGCGGCAGACACCGATGGCTCTTGCTGTGTTGAGGTAGCTCCCGACATGGATGGCATTGACTGAGCTCCCAACAAACTGATCTCAAACGATGGCCAAGCATTAATCGTTGTAGACATATCAATGTCCGGATTGATGGATGCTAACACTGCCTCAATATCGATCTCATTTGAGGAGTTCTGTTGACTTTGGGCGATGTAATTGTTAAGCATGGTTTGCGAGCCCATGCTAACAATTTCGATAGATAACTCATCATTCCCCGAAGTACTAGCCATCGTTTGCGGGTGCCCGTTTAGCGAAGGGTCAACGGTTTCGCGTGGTGGTACAACTTGAACATTTTGCAATACCCGTACACGGGGCCTTAACAGTTTGTCCAGAATCAGGCGCTGACTGTTCGTAAATGCGCAGTACGGGCACTTCTTCTCCAAGGTATACAGACACGGTCTTGAACACATGTCTGCAATTGAACAAAGAACACAATGTTAAAGACTGATGCTTTCAACCTGAAGTGTTTGGACTGCAGTGACAGTTACGACTATGAGCACTTATATACAAGCATTTCCCCTCCTACCTCACTTTCACGGATTCTTCCGTTCGACTTTCACGATTTCTAGCATGAATTAACGGTCAAGACTTATTACTTCATTAAAGGTTACTGATCGCGTTCAAGTTTTACATTTATTATCCGATGATAATTTCGTGACCTCGACTTTCATCCTTAAGAATATAACTACCCACCTATACTTTCATTGTCCTTTATAGCATCATGACCTCGAATTCTCCTGACCTTGTGATGGAGAAGGAGAGCATACTTATATACTCACTATAGTCGTCTTTCCATTCCGTCGCTCCCCAGTCATCGTCATGGATGATCAGGATCCAAATGATCTGTATATCTTCCATGAAGATGGCTTGGCTAGTCCACTCCTCTTCGACAGCACAGCCTCTACCTTAATTGCGGGAGGTGCTGCACCCGATGTTGGCAATGCTTTGTTAGACGACGTTGTCGACATCGAGTCTGCCGACGAAGATGAGAGGGAGGGCGCGGGGAAGGTATCTTCGTCCGAGAGCGATTCTGAGGTCGAGCTTGATGAGCTCCACGTCGGCCTTGCTCCTCTTGATGACCCACCTGAGGTTGCCATTCCTGAAGCATTTCAGGATGACAATCTCGTGTGGGATCTGGACGATCCATCCAGCGATTCGGGGTATATCAGCCCCTAATGTGTATCAGTTTTAAGGAGTTAGCTTTAAGGATTTAGTTTTAAGATTTTATTTGTAAGGATTCTGTAAAGTATATTAGCTTTAAGATAATAACACCCAACCCAATAAAAGATTTCTATACAATATATCACAATCCATCCCCAACCATCATGTCAAATAAAAACTGTAATATCAGGTTTTTTTCTTTGTATACTGAAAGTCCTTAGCTTTAAGAGATCACCATAAAGGATTTCACGCTCATAATCCATATTCATGCTTCTGACATCACCTATACCTAATCTTTCCTTGCGTACATACTTCCTTTCAATATTTCTACATTTTATTCATATTTTTTATTTTTAGTAGTAATTTCCTTCCGTATCTTTGTCCCTGGTGATTTTATGCTTTTGTTTTCCTATCGCTAACGTCTTCCTATTACCCATATCTTCTATTTCTATATTCCGTTTAGCGACATGCATTATTTTATTTTAGGGGTAATTCACCCCTATTTATTTGTCCTGTTAGTATTGCATCATTTTGTTATTACCATTTACATCTCCTTATAATACTAGCATTCGATTTCAATACATCCTTTTATCAAATTTTACCTTTTAGATTCTTTACCCCTTATATCTTTTCTAATTCCCTTCTTATAACCAAACTTTATAATAGCACACATATCCCTTCTACTTGTATTGATGACATTACCAAAAAATGATTCATATATACTGTCTACACTATTGATTGCAACTGTACTAAGTTAATTCCAAGACTGGACTTGTAAAATTTAAATTTTTTGTTCCCCCTACTGAGGGTTGCCACCCCTATTTTTTTAATTCACGTTTTTCACTCTAATTTCTCTTAAATGACCGATTTTTTGAATTTTTAGCTATCTGTCTTGCTTCTACAACCTTACACTCATTATTCTCTCAACTTATCCACACATTTTTTTTTCCTTTACTTACCTTCACACTCGATCTCCTTTTCCTCCTAACTTTCCCATTTTCTTCCTTCGGCTGCAACACAGATGCTTGCCTCCCAGCGGACTGTTGTCACACTTACGTGTACTATTCGATGCTATTCGCCTTTAGCAGTACAAACACTTTGCTAAGTTCTTACTATGTATGTGGAGCTTATTCACATATTCGTGTATATACTAAATAGGGCATACCTTGCTCCTATGATACACCTCTCACATACTATTGATCCCATCATTGTGGTACCGATGTAGTAATATTGCTGACAACGGTCTTCGCTCCATTCTACACCCCTCGCATAACTTTCTTGACATACGCTCCATTCTACATATGCATTACTTATTACACTTCTTTCATATATCAATTCATATGGATATCGCACTCTATGTCCATCTTGCAGCTCACTCCATTTCATCAGGAATCCGCTCCCTACTGACATTACTTCTATGGCGAGTCCCGGTTCCAACACCACTGATTTTCGTCATCCGTTTCGAAGATCGACCCTATTTTATGGGGACGGTGTTGAGTACACGTCCAACAATAAACTAAAAATGTCTCGCAACAACACCACCTACGAATGAAGCGAAACTCCTTTTCAGGCTTCAATAGTTTCTCCGTTTGACAGACTAAACACCTACTTTTCTTCGCCAATATTATATTCTGCATCCCACTAGTACCGTACCATTTGCGCCACTTGCAACTACAGAACTCGGCGAGTTCCACAATTTAAGCATATATTTCCAAGGTCATCCCATCTACATCTCAAGGTCGTTCACTCCTACAACGTCACACCCACTCAAGGTCGAGAGTGATCGAGGTCATATATGTTCAAGGTCACACATCAAGGTCACTCGGAAAATCAAGGTCACTATGAAACTCAAGGTCACGCTTCTAGGTCACTCGGAAAATCAAGGTCACACTTCAAGGTCACTCGAAAAGCTCAAGGTCACACTGAAACACAAGGTCACGTTTCAAGGTTGCATTTCAAGGTTGGCACCGAAGGTCAGCTCTCAAGGTCGTTTGGCACCGAAGGTCGGCGCTCAAGGGCGTCCCAGAACATACAAACCCTATCTACTTATAATCAGTTATCGTAATGTTGTTACAAACGGTCTTACACCCCAGCTCCAAAGAAAGAAGTCTGTCGGATACGGTGTGCGATACTCTCTGCAATTTAGGAAACATTTTTTTTTCGTGAAAACCTGAACATGTGCGTCGATGGGCTTTCCAGGGTTTAAAGTACACAACAAGAGCTATTATAGACAGTTATCGTAATGTTGTTACAAACGGTCTTACACCCCAGCTCCAAAGAAAGAAGTCTGTTGGGTACGGTGCGCGATACTCTCTGCAATTTAGGAAAAAAATTTTGTCGTGAAAACCTGCAGATGTGCGTCAATGGGCTTTTCAGGGTTTAAAGTACACAACAACAGCTTATTATAATCAGTTATCGTAATGTTGTTACAAACGGTCTTACACCCCAGCTCCAAAGAAAGAAGTCTGTCGGATACGGTGCGCGATACTCTACAATTTAGGAAACATTTTCTTTCGTGAAAATCTGCAGATGTGCGTCGATGGGCTTTTCAGGGTTTAAAGTACACAACAAGAGCTATTATAATCAGTTATCGTAATGTTGTTACAAACGGTCTTACACCCCAGCTCCAAAGAAAGCGCGTCGATGGGCTTTTCAGGGTTTAAAGTATGTACCTGAGATGCTGAGATAGCCTTTTACCAGTTATAAAATAAAGCACATAGCTAGAAAATAGACAGGCACAACCGCATGTGGGTAATTCCCCGATTCCTTGGAATGACTCGTTGCCACATAACTTCTTATAGCATTGTTGCCTAAAATATTAAGAGGTCCAGGGCACTATGAATGTATAAGTGATTAATAATTACTATATTTACGGATGACCAAATATTTCCTGTTTAAATTGTTTTTATTCCCAGCTTAAATAATCCGCTAAATTCCTTTAAACAAAATTGCTTATTCCGTTACAAAATCCGCTTTCCGCAATTGCAGATTTTGTCCGCTAAACATGGAATAAAATTGCCTAAATCTAGCGGAAATTCCGCTAAGTTGGCAACACTTACCCTCATTGCACTTGATAGCCTACTAGCTCTACGCGCCCGCAGTGATCCTATCCCTATCCTTTTTTAAAGTA